GTCCTACATTTTCATTTTGCACTGGGCCCTGCAAATTATGTAGGGCACCACTTTGAGAGCTTGCTATGTGCCTCTTACCCTTGAGGAGTTTGGCAGACTGTGACTTGACTCACACATGGTAAAGCTGGCCCGTGACAACTGAATCGAAGTGACTGCACTGCCTGGGTCAGCTTGCCTTTCTGAGTTGATCAAGTCACAAAAAATGGCCCACTTATAAAATATGTATTTTCCTCTTAGTTAGCACTTCAATGAGAGGAGCTTAGTGATGGGAATCACTGAAGAACCAAAACACTCAGGAGAGGGAGCTTTAAATCTCTGCCTGGCCAGAGAACAGGAAAGAGTTTTAAAGACCCAGTTCAGGTAGGACCTCTCCTGTATTTTACCACCCTGAAAGAATCAAAAACTGATTAGCAGCCTGGGATAATTTGGGAGTGGGCAAGGAAAGTGAGAAAGAAAAAAAAAAAAAAAAAAAAACTTAAGACAGTGAAATAGAGAAGTCAGAACTGCCCTATCCCATTGTAAACTTCCAACCTAAAGCAGCCCACAGTAGAAAAGAGATTTGCTATTACATGTCATTTGGAGTTTCAACTGATAATATTAAACAGACCATTCTAATTTCTGAATTGAACCTTCAGGAGACCTAGACAAGTAAGCAGAAAAATCATATACCTTTTAGTTTCTTCAAGGAGTAGAAAGAGATGCATTATCTCTTTCAATACATTTTAAAGGGTTTCTAGATATTATGAGCTGAATTATGTCCCTCCTCATCCCCCCCAAAATTATGTACATTGAAGTCCTAATTTCAATGACTCAGAATATGACTATACTTGGAGATAGTGTCTTTAAGATGTAATTAAAGTAGAATGAGATAAAATGGGCCCTAATCTAATAGGATGATTGTCTCTATAAAAAATTATCATGACACAGAAAGCACAGAGGGAAGACCTTGTGAAGACACAGAGAAAAAATGGCCATCTATATGCCAAGGAAGGAGATCCATAGAAAAACCAATCCTGTTAATACCTTAATCTTGTACTTTAGCCTCCAGTACTCTGAGGAAAGAAATGTCTGTTGTTTATGCCAACTAATCTGTAGTACTTTGTTATGGCAGCCCTAGCAGACTAATACAATAGGAGATAACAAAAACTGAGTTGTTATAGTGATCAAAGTAGTTTTGGAAGGCATAATAATTAACAGGGTCCACAAAGTGGAACAAAGGACCTATTACTTCTTCTAAGATAAGATAGTAGAACTTAAAATAATTCAGTAAAAATGGTGTCTTTAGTGGTCATAGAGCTAGCTATAAAGAAAGATATGTAATGCTAGATAGTTCATAATTTTATGTGTTTAAACAAATATGATTAGATAGAAAACATTTTCAGAGCACCATAAACTATTGCATCCATATAGTTCACAAAATACTTAAGTTTTGCAATAATATAAGTTGGTATAAATTTACAGAGATAGAAACATAACTGCAATGTAACAAAGGGGCAAATTTATGTAATATAATATATATGAATCATATCACATGTGGTTTTTAACACAGATAGTGCTCAATTAATGTTCTTTTTCCTCTTTCATAGTGGATGGAAGGACACAGATATTATTTCACTCTGCTTCTAGTCACTTTAGCTTAAAGTGATTGAACATCGATTTAATCAATAGTCATTAGGGTGAATCTGGCATTGGAACAACAGAAAATAAATGCTAAATCTAGTATTTGTGTAATAATTCTGATTTACTAAGAATAAGTAGTAGTAACCACTGATAAAGCAATTTGGTAACTAAAAGGGAGAAATAATTTCCAATTTTTGTAAAAGAACATATCATCGGACTTCACTAATGAAGGAATCAATCTCATAAAGCCATCAACATATGTTATAGTTTAAGTTAATGTGCTTCATATGTGTGCAGGTTTGAAATATTTTATTTTACCTTACAACTAGGAATAAAGCTTTTAACTACAGCAGGAGAAGAGACTGGGCGGATATTTTACTAACAATTACACATCCCAACTGAGAGAATCTATTTGGGATATTGACACAGGCAACAGGCATTAGCGATAGGGAGCAGCTGCTTCCTAGGGAAATTAAAAAGAAATGTGAGACTGTCTTCAAAGTTACAGGGAACTCAGAAGTGACTCTAGAGGTTGACAATATATGGAGGTGGTACTGTGCTGAAAGTGTCAGGGAGGTCTGTCGTCAGGCATTGAAGACCCACCTCAGGACTGTGTGGGGTGGCTAAGGGGTAGGCACACACTAGCAAGAGTGGGGTGTGCTGGGCTCCTGTCCTAAAATTCTTTGGCTACGGGATTTATTATCAAGGTAGGAATCCATAGAGAAGGCCACAACCTAGGATTAGCTCCAAGACTGGGATAATAACACAAAATATCAGTTACTGAATGCTTCTGTGTACCTGGATATCTACAAAGTATTTTGTATACAATTTTACAGTTTATCCCAAAATGAATTCCATGAAAAAGAAGATAGATATAAAAGATAAATAATTGAGATCAAACTTAATAACTAGATAAAATCAAGAAAGACATACATATACTGACATGAATCTTTTATTATTATATAGAATAAAAAAATCCTAGAAACACTCAAGCATAAAAATGAGATTCTCAGGTAAACAAAACAAAGTAATTCTGATTTTACATTAATGTCAGAAAATAACGAAAGCATTGTCTACGGATATTTTTCAAAAAATAAATCTGTGAGCTAGTCATTTTAATATCAATTAAATTTTTTCAAGTGCAAAGGTAAAAGAAAGATAATTGCAGATATAATATACATGTGTGTATATATATGTATGTGTACCTAAAATTATTCTACAAATATAAATTCCTTGAATGTAAATTACTTAAGATACCTACTAACTGACTAAAAAAAGGAATTAAAATTAGAAATTGAGGAACAAAGAACATGATAAACTGCTCTCTAAACTTTCAACAGGTAAAATTTCCAAACTATCATAAGAAACTCGAGGAGAATTAATGCTAAAGCAATGATCATATTCATCATACAAAATTAATGGCAAATGTGGATGATTTGGTGTCTCAATTTACATTGGCATCTGTACTTTCATAGTGGAAAATTATTCTTCACATTGAAATAATCATATAATGGGCAAAATAAATTTCTCTAGAAATTTTTTTTCTTGGATTAAGGTTTACTACCAGATTCAGTTATTTAATTAAATATATTTCTATACTAGTCTCTCCTTATCCACTGTGGATATCTTGCAAGACCCCCAGTGGATGCTTGAAACTATGGATAGTACTCAAGCATATATATTCTGTTTTCTTCCTATTCATATATATGCCTATGATAAAGTTTATGAACTAGGCACAATAAGAGATTAACATCAATACCTAATAAAATAGAACAATTATAACAATAAAATAAGGGTTACTTAAACAGTAGCATAGCAATACAGTGACAGAGGATTTGATAACTAAGAGGGCTACTAAGTGCTGATGGGGCAGGGAGTGTACACAGCATAGATAAGCTGGACAAAGCCGTAATTCACATCCCGGGCAGGACACATTGGGGAAGCTCGTGTTTTCATCATGCTACTCAGAAGGCATGCAATTTGGAATTTATGAATTGTTTTTTTCTGGAATTTTCTATTTAGTATTTTCTGACTGCAGTTGACCGCAGGTAACTAAAACCACAGAAAGCAAATAAGGGGGAACTACTGTAATTCTATTAAAAAAATACTAACCATGTTTGGGAAGAATACAAAATACTTATCTTTGATTGATGTTTCTTTTATTCTTATTTTGGTTACTTGTACTTTCCATTAAAAGTATGAGCATTAAAAAATATTAAAAATAGAAATTTTTTTCTGAATTTCATCCCATGAAGTCTATAATATATTTTATATAGTTGTTACAGAAACTTCATATATTTTTCAATTTTTATATTGTTGAGCAGAATGTATAATCTTTGTGAAGGTTTTCATTTTAAGATGTTGACTTAAGAGGTACTTGGATTCCATCACTGACTCCATCTTCCTCTTATGACTGCCTGTGATTTTCAGAAAAACCCTGAGTAGCAGTGCTGTAACAGCAAAACTTTCAAGACTAACTTGCTCAGCTTGAAGACTAGAGCTTCAGAGTTTATAAGTGATTTGTAGAGTGGACTTCCTCCATTTTCATCAGACTACTTTGGAAGACCCCAAGATCACGGTCTTCCTCATTACACTCCCTCTTGACATCGCAAGGAAAAAATAGTAGTTACCATAGCTAATGGAAGAAAACAACTTTTATAATTATATACTTAATAACTCTCATGAAACTTTAATAATCAATGTTATAAATAAATTATTCATACCAAGAACAAAGTACTAAAGGTTATATAGTACCAGTTTGAATTATCTAACAGTGAGTCTACAATCCACCTTGACATTTCTTGGATGTTTTGAGAAGAATTATAGTCAAGCCCAGCCAAAACCATATGAGAAAATAAGCATAGAGCCTGCCTTTAATGAGATCTCTAGAGAAGATAATTCTACACCCTTTATAACCCCACTGACAATATTAAAGGAAATTTATGGAAAGAAAAATTTTAACTTCTTTATGAAAAATATCTGTTTCTAAAATGGGAAACTGGTCTCCTGGTGGTGGGAACAAAGACGGCCCTTTATTGAGCTTCATGCCATTTATAAACTTTATTGAACCTGTTGTGAACTTTATAAGGCAAGTATAGTGCAGGAAATACAGGGCCAGCAAATAACAACATTTCATAATTTAGTTTGTTAAATTGAGGCTTCACAAAAAACTTATAAAACAGATAATAGTGTCCCTGTTTTGTAGTTGAGGAAAAAGACTCAGAGAGATGAATTAGCTTTCTCAAGATCACACCGCAGAGATCACTTGAAAACAAAAGTTTATCTGATATGAAAGCTTCCACAAATCAATCCTCTATACAGTCATTTCTGTTTGTTTGTTTTTAAGATATTATTTTATTAGCTGAATTTTATATTTTCAGGTATTTTCTTATACCGCTGACAAAGAAATCCGAACCGATGACTTGTGCTTGGATGTTTCTAGACTCAATGGACCTGTAATTATGTTAAAATGTCACCATATGAGAGGAAATCAGTTATGGGAATATGATGCTGAGGTATAGTATTTTCTTTAATTTACTTAATTTTTAATGCTTAAACTCAGTTATATATTTCAAATACATTTAAATCCTAAGTTATATGTTTCCGAATTGGAAGAACTGCATTTTCAAGCATGCATGCTCATATCTGATAACATTAGGATGCATATCATATAAATGGAATTTGCAAAACTAGTTCATAAGTATAAAATATAAGCAAGACGAAGTCATTTTTCTGTGCTTAACATGTGTTATCACATATATATGCTCTACATAAATTAGGCAAGGAGCCAGTTATGCTTATCTGAGAGGTATGTATGCAGATGTGCATAAAGGACAATATCAACAATATTATCATATTTTCAAATTAAAAATTTTGTACTGTTGTAATCTGTGATATTTATGCTTCTCAACTTAAAGGTAAAAAAGAAAAAAGCTGACAAGATTAGCACAAACGCTTTTTATAATAGTAAATACTTTGAAAAATTCAATAAACTAATTAGATACCTAATCAGCTAAGCAGCATCTTTTCAATATAGCACATCTTTGTGAGAGAAGAGAGAGAGAAAACAAAATTACTGTTGGGAAATTACAACCAGGCAGTGTGTAAAAACCAGATCAACCATCAGATGGAGCTAATAAAAAAGAAATATTGTGTCCTGTGTGTAAGAAAGCTGCCTTGGAATAGCTTAATTTCTTTCAGTTTTCTTTGCTTAACAAAATGAATTGGTCTTCTGTGTTACATTTTCCACACTATTAAATGGTAGGTGACTTATTTAAGATAGGAAGTAAACTTTATTCTTACAAGATAAATAATACAGTAGAGGTAAACAAATTATACAAATGCAGAGTTCTATGAAAGTTTAAAATATTCAGCAAGAGTAACATTTAAAAACCAATCTAGTTTTTGGTATTATTGATATTTTAACAAGGCCTTCATTTTTAAAAATTTTTGAATGTCATTTTCATTTGTTGATGTTGTAGTTTCTTAAGGGTATTATCAGGAAAACTTCTTATGTGATATGAAACAGGTTACATAAGGTTAAATTTTGGCCCTAAAATTTATACACTATTACCAAACTCTTTGGCTAAAATTTATTCTTCTTCTGGGACATAATTAAGGACAAACACCATGAATCTTTCTTGTGTTGCACCAATAGGTCCCATTGAGACTCTTGTTTTCTCAATACTTTATTTACTTTCTTTATCTAACCACCATTTTTTTTCTCTTCAACTATCATTATCACACTTATATTAAGACTGTAGAAGATATTTCCTCCAATAATACACATGGGTAAACCTGTACCCTAAGCTCCTTACCTCTTCTATGAGGAAAAGTACAGATAAATGCACAAAAGAAGAAATCCTGAAAGTATTATTTTTAAATAAAACTTTATTGTTCTTGTTGCCCTTTAGTTTTTACCAAGAACCCAAGACTTTATTGGGTTTGTGCTAAAAACAAAGAAATCTAGCATATATTTATAAGAAAAGGGGAATGAGTGTACATATTTTTTAATAAGATGAAGCACTATTGAGTTTCAGAATACCACTTTTAATCTTTTACTTTTCTGTAATTTTTCAGTAGATAATGGCTTTTAGAGTCATGACTTAGATTACCATATTTCTGAAATAACTACTGATAATTGCACATATGTTTTTGTTTGTATTTTTATCAATCAGTACCAAAAATATTGAATACTAAGGGATTTTGAAAGAAAATTTTAAAAAACAGTAGCTTCACCTAAGATAAAGAAATGGATTTTATAAATTTACTATTTTGGATGTCTTGAAGTTGTATTGGAGTATTTTTAGGGCACTGTAATATTTTGTGTCATGTAAACTTTGTTTCTAAAACATACAAAAAAGCTTATAATACATCATAAATATTATGAAATGTTTATTTTTAAAGTAGTCAATCATCTTAAAAATTACATAACATAGTTTAATATCCTATATGTTTATGTTTTCAAAATTAAATTGTGATGTTAAACTTGTCTAAATTTAAAATTTTAAATCATAGTGTATTTTTTTGCCAATTTAAAAACAATGTATAAATCATAATGTAGAGAAGTCATGAGAGAATAGAATAATTGTAAAAATGATATATTACCTTTTCAGAGATTTCAGCTTTGAAATAAAGAATTGATTTTATTTGTGAAGAAGTCATAAAAAAGAGATGACTTTTTTAATAAAATTGAAATATAATATTTATTTTTTATGATTAACTTTTCTTTAAGTGTTAGGTTTAGGATTACTTTATTGTACAGAATAATCCCAATCATTGCTACCCAAAGTGTGATTCTAGGGCTCGAAACATTATCTGGGAACTTCTAGAATTCAGGACTCTGAGATACCACCCTGGACAGTAAACAAAGATCTACTTATATTCCTCGGTCTTTTTTTGTACACTGTTGAAAATATTGCAAAGTTAGGAAAAGGCATAAATACGCTTTGGAAAATGATAAGGCCTCCAAGAGAGATGGGGGGTGGGGGGAGAAAAGGACCAGAGGGGTGAGGGATCTGAGATGGGGAAAGAGGAGTAACTGCCAAGCAGCTCTAGTCTTCTCATATTCCAAGCCGGTGGACAGTAGACAAGTGCAGCTTGCTACTTCTTTAATTTGTTCTTTATCTATTGTGATCAAAGGTAAAATTACTCTTCTTTGAGAAACTTCTGAGGTGGTGCAGTTTCAAAGCAGAATAAAACTTGGCGGAGTTCACAGAATTACAGAGCTTATACTTACTTTAAAGTTCTCTTTCAGCCTTTATCAGGAGGACTCCAGAGCACAAAGATCACACTGCCAGCGGCAAGGCAGGATTTAGGTACTAATAAAGTATTCAAAGAAAGCTAGTTATTAGTACAATTGTGAATCTCACAGTGTGAACAGCTGAGATATTCTATCACCTTATCTGCTGTAGTCCTTTCAATCTTAGAAAAGCAAGTCATAAATAGGAATAGAATTGTTAGAATATCCAGAATAAAATTGAAATCGTATCATAAAGTCTCAAAACATGGAGTCTATCTATCTGGTTTACTTCTTAGGTGAGTGGGGGAAAATAGGAGGGAATAAAGTTCCTTGAGGATAATTTTATCTGTTTTTTCATGCGATTCTATAAGACAGTATTATTCTTTTTTATGTCCTTCACATTAGTAAACATAAGCTTATAGTATTTAAATGTCTTCTCTAAATTTGTACACTCTAGATTGCTGGCACTCAATCCAATAATCTTTTCACTGTAGTATGTTGCCTCTGGAGTTTGTTGAAAAACTAGAAACAATTAGATGCTTTCAGTGATGATGATCTGATAAGCTAAATGTACAATATTAAAAATGAAAGGTATAATTAAATACTATCATTTTTTGTGGTATCAAAATTTTATTCACATAGATTTCTCCTGTCCTTAATCATTGAAAAGATTTTCTGCAATAAATATTGTTTATTTAGACAAATAGGCTGTCATGAAACTACTTCATCAATATGATCTAATTGTCTACAAATTTTAGCACTACATATTCATAATAAAATTAATTAATGTCTAATTGCTTCTATAGTTATTTGAATGAAACTAAACATATGTTGGTAATAAATGCATGCCTATGCTCAACTTTGGTTTGAAATATAGTGTCCCATATCTTTAGCTAAATATTTCTTTTTTTTTATTTCATTTTTAAAGCAGCTTTATTTAGATATAGTTCACACACCATACAATTTACCTATCCAAGGTGTACAGTTCAGTGGATTTTAGGATATTTACAGATACATGAAACTACCATCACAGGTGATTTTAGAATGTTTACATCATCTCAAAAAGAAACTCCATACTTTAGCTATCATACCCCTAGATCCTTATAATCTA